TTCCCCGTCATGCAAGGAGTTACTGAAGACAAATTAACCGAGGCTTTCTTGCTTCAGAGAACAAAATAGTATAACCATGGACAGAAAGCAACTGAGAAAATGTGGTATTTTCTTACAATTCGAAATGTAATATCAAGATTATGATGGAATGCAATACATACATCTTCAAAATTTCGTAAAAATTTCATGTTATATGATGGTTATAGAAACTGTTATAACCATAGGAATGATGATTGCAAGAATGAAGATTAGATGATGCTTAGAGGAGCTGCGATGATCGTAGGAATGATGATTACAGGAATGAAAATTAAATGATGGTTATGGGAACTGTGAGGCATCCAACCTGTTAAATAATTAGAACTGTATTTATTATGCAGCTTCACTTCACAGATGGTACTACATAAAATGCCAAAGACTATATAAAGATGCTTTGTGGCTTTCTACAACATCTGACAACAGGCAAGTTTGGTGACAAGGTACAAGACTCAATTTTCTTCATGATGAACCATCTCACAGTGAATGAAAATGATAAGTGTTTGAATATTTATATCCTTTCTTTTAAAAAATTTTCATATTTATTGCAATTTAGAAGAAAATTATTTTAGGTATGAAAAGGTAACCTTTCCTCAACCTGGGAGCTAAAACTGAATGACTTAATTAAGAAGAAATAAATATACTGTAATAGAAAGCTCGCAGAAAATAAACATCCCGCTTTGTTCCATCTGGATGAAATATGCATTTAGAATTCCTCCAGGTTGATGATGGATACATGTGTAGTTATCAAGGTAAACTGAAGCTCAACGAAATGCAGGAATATGTTTTTTATTTCCTTGACTGAAAGACAGAGCACTCAGGTGTGCGGATCCGCTGTTCAAGTTTTATAAGCTTGTTTGGGGCTACAGGTCACTGACTCGTAATTTAATTCGCTAATGCATACCCGTTTGTGAATGCATTAAATGATGTCTTAAATAATTTTGTGCTATTTAGCTCTTCATGTGTTATTTATTACCATTGCATTGCTACAAACATTTCTCCACATTGCTCGAAATTATTTAGTGTTCTTAACATTAAAATGTTTCCACATGCAACGGCATTGAAAAATTATTTATGGAAATGAGATGCAATATTTTTTTCATTAAACAATGTATAATTATACTATTTATTTATCTGTGTATTTCTTCTCTAATTTTTAATTTTATGAGGGGCTGGGAAAACCGAATTAGTTCACCAAATATGTAAGCTTTGGACTTTTGATGACGAAAACAAGAGAAGATGAGTTGAATAATAAAAGATGCAATGATACATTAAACTCGCAAATTACTGCCACATCTCACGAGAAAAATTGTAATTAAAAGTGTAGTGAACTTACAAACAGAAATATGAAATATTATCTCCTATAAACGATACTTTTAAATAGTACCTCTAAATAATTATTTTTATTACATAAACAGCAGCAAGTTTTGCTCAGAAATGAATAGCCTTAATTGTACGAGATGTCCACAGCCTTTTAGGAAATTTCGAGGAAATATTAGATGTATAAAAATAAAAAAAGGAACAGAAAAATGTCATGTGTAGTATCATCTCACGTGTACCCCAAAATAAAATATAAATTTAACAAAAATAATGCTTGATGATTATTTTTAGAACTTTAATTTTCAAAATTTATCTGCTACTTGCATAATCATAATTGGTTACTTTTCCTTATCTAGAAGAAGTTTCAGATGCAAAATTTAAATTCAGAACTTGGGATGTTATTTTTTAATATACATGTTAAAATGACAGCTAAAATAATAACTCAAGAATTTTTTTTTACATAAATCTTACTTACTACTGTTTAATGAGTTAAAAGATGTCAAAATGTTAATAAATCAAATAACTTAGTAAGAGATATAATACGAGGAGGAAGATAAATTCGAATGTGTCTAAAATTACAGCAAGAATTTATCTTAGAAATGTCTCACAAATAAAGCGCTGACAAGATTTGCAGAATCCTCTCGTCCCGTGGTTCAAGATAAAAGAAAAAGAACGGCTTGCAAAAGCTTCTTTCTTTAAATCTGCCAGAGGGCACCAGCGAACATTCATCCCTCACCTGACGCTGATCTTTCAAAGTGGTTTCGCATTGTCTCTCCGTCTTTGAAAGATTCATGTTCTGAGTCGTAGAATTTGCTCAGAACAAAACATATTTACAGTCATCTGTCGATTTTATTTGATACTACAAAGACATATCTTAAACTAGAATACTAGAATTTTTTATGATATAGATCTGAATTATTCTGTAGAATGATACTTTGTTTAAATATTCTTCTGTAATTTGTGTGTTCAAGTTTTTTATTAGAGAGAAATTCCTTGAACTTAATTTTGGCTTGTTCAAAAAATATACAAGTGCATAAAAACAGAAAATGTACTCTGTTAGGACTGATTATAATCATCTGTAAAAAGTGCAACAAAGGACAACGAATAAAAAAACATTTAAAAAATAAAAAAATAAAAAATTTAAAAGGTTTCAAATTTTAAATTATGTTTAAAGGGGCGTTTTTTTAACGTTTTGTGTGTTACCTTCATTTATTAAATATCATGTTCTTGGCATTTAAACCATAAAAATTCTGTTCAACAGCAATGTCGCAAAATAATTTTAAAATGAGCCTATCTTTAGAATTTCCGATACACAGTCTATGTCTATGCCGTAACACAATTAAGAGGCAATCAGCCTAGTGTGGCCTTTACCAATATATTATAAGTAGGGTGTCTTTAATGATAGTTGAATCCAATAAGAGGAAACGTACTTTTTGCACCTAGTGCAGTCTCCAGAAGAGAAGTAAACGTGGCCCCACGATGTGAGGATCTGCAGCTTGAGGGTTTCTGCCGCTCGGCTATGGTTGTCTTGAGAGAAGCTGCGAATTAATCTTGATTTGTAAAGTTAAAAATAATCTCGATGACTTGAAAAGCTAGACATAGTTTCTGCATATTTGATTTAGCTGATTTAATTCTCTGAGCTATTGTGGTTATTGATTTCACGAGATAAAGGGTTTTCTGATCTTTGAAAATGATTGATTTGATTTCTGCTAAATTTTCCTGCGGGTTTTTCTGCTTAACTTTGTCACTGTAAAGGTTTTTTAGGCATTTCTCGATTAGTTTGGTCTGATGTTTTTCCTCTGGTTTTAATTTACAGGTATTGGATCTGTGATTTTGTCCGCACTTACAGCACCTGATCTTTTTAAAGCAGTTATTTTGGGAGTGCCCAAACTCTTGGCAATTGAAACACTGAATTGGGCGCCGATACACAGTTCCGCGCGCTGGAGATAAACTGATTTGTTTTCCCCGTAGAGTGTTGCGATTGCTCACTTTTAAATCGTTGACTTTGTTAATCAAAAATTCGTTAAAAAACTTTTACAAAATAGGAAATCGATAATAAAACAAATTGCAAATTGCAAATTTGGGCTTTCAGATGCCCATATTCGCAGTAGGATTACGTCGTTCAAAATTGGATGGCTCTAAGTACCGTTGTTTTATCACAATGCAAGAAACATACATACATTTATGCAGATTCTTCATTATTTAATTTCTTCAAATATAATGCAGGACTCTAAAATTTGGTGGCAACAATTTGAAAAATTATACTCCATTTAGGTAAAAGTTTACGATTGGGTGCCCCTTGTTTGTTGGAGATTCTTTTTTGACGCCAAGATCGGCGCCAGGAAGGCACAATTTCAAGATGGTCGCTACACAAAACCAAAATAAGAAGTCATTGAATTGCACAAACTCTGTGTCCATGTACACATCGATCTGTTTTCACTTTAAAAAAAATCCTGGAATTGCACAAACTAGGCATTGTGCATTGCCTTAAATTTGTCCATGTACACATCAATCTATTTTCATTTAAATAAAATCAGGAAGCTAAAAAAGTTAAAACTATCATGGTAACCAGAAGTGAGGTTTCATCACCAAAATTTTTTTTTAAATGTCGCTAATCGAAAGGGCACCCAATTCTACACTAGAGCCCGCCGTTTATAGTGATTCGATGCAAAATCACGAAACGAAAACAGGGACAAAGCCCCTTTCGACTAATAAAAATAAAAATAAATTTAGATGTAATATAAAATTTGGGAATGATATTAATCAACTGTACTGTTAAGGAATAAATATATCATTTTTATTCGGAGCAATTTAAAAGCATCTGAAGAAAAAGATAATCGTTTTTAAATTATGTATAGACGATAAGGTTTTCGAGTATCTACAAGAAAACTAATGGTAATGTAAAAGTTTCAGCTTCGGACTTAACTGTGGGCTATACCTTCACTAAGAAATGATGAATGGTGAGTAATAACATAGACTTTAGATAGCAAAAACTGACAACATGAATTAGAATGAACAAAAAAATCTTTCTTGTTTCGAACTGACCAAACTGAAATGCGCACAATAATTCTCGGTTTCTGACATGACTGTGGGGCAACACCAGCCGATCGTTTTGAGCTCATTATAACAGAAGCATAGTTGGAAGAAAAATGGTCGCGTTCGATCTATCTCTATTATTAAAGTCGTATTTTCTGCAAATTTGTAATTGCAGCTTCTGTAAACATTTAGTTTATAGCAATAGCAGTGCTTAACTTGACGGAATTTATCTCCTTTGTTTCTTTGATTTCACTTTTAATTCAGATATTTTCATCCCGGTTGGCATTTGACGACGGAACCAGAATTGCGGTCATTGAGAATTCTCATCCATAAAATAATATAAAAATTGAAAGAATGAAGACGGCATCTAAAAAGGATTTGACACCTGCAAAAATTACAATGACTCTTCAGCTGAGAAATCGACATGAAATATGAGTTTACGCGAGAAAGTACAGGAAACCTCGAGAATTACTGGCCAAAAATAGTTTCAGTGGTTGCTCTTCTTCACTTTTAGACAATTCCTGTTCCTAATATTTGTTTTCTTTAGCATTTACCTGTTTACTCAATGACATCAAATAGAACAATAGGTGCCGAATTTTCATATAACTTACCAGACATAGTTATATACTATTGGATCGATAGGCTTCGAAATTTTAGGAACACTAGCATGTAGACCCAGAAATGGTTGATACAAACTTCTTCGTCGTCTCTTCTTTCGGTAGATAGAGTAACTTGCAGCGATTAGAAGTAAGACGGCAAAGGAAGTGCATAAAATGGCTACAAGATGTTGATGGGCTGAAACATAATAGAAAAAAAGAAGATAAATTAGTAAAAAAAGAGAAAGTTGGCGAACATAGTATTTTATTAGATTGGTTAACTTTGCGTACATAATACATCTTACATACTGTTATCGATTAGAATGCTGTAAAATGTATTAATCCATAGTACCACTTAAACCAAAAATCAAAATTTTACATGGAGATAATTAATGACAGATAAATATTAAGTGTTTTAAGAAAATACATGGTTGTGAAATAAAGATTTGCTGTTACAATGATGAGAAAAAGACTGATATATTATCACCAGAAATGGAATAGGACAAACTAAGATTTCTTTTTCATCCATTTCTCTACCAAGTTTTTAAAGGAAATCAATAAGTATCAGATTGCTAAGTCAATTACATTATCGGAAAACGTAATCTAAGTTAACCTTTTAAAAGTTAACCTTTGAGGACAATTGTACAAGTTTAAAGTTGTTGCTGGGAATATTATTTGAACAAGACAGTGAAAACAGAGAAAAAAAATACCAAGACCCTTCTAGTATCTTTGAATAACTCTTGCTACGAAAATACCGTTTTCGAGAGATTTTTCAAAGGCTTTCCAGAGATGTTGATAGTTTCAAAGACTAAACACATAATTATGTTTTTCTTTATATTAGCTCAAAACTGTTACAATCAGAGTTTAATTTAGCACATGAGTTTAATTTTTAATAATGAATCTCATATAAGTAACAAGCACAAATTTCTTAAGCAAATTTTAAACGTTTTATTCTTAACTAGTTTCTAACATTTTCTTTATTTTGTGTATAAGCATATTATTAATTGACAGTTTGTTACATATAAGATTAAGACTAAAAAATATTTAATGATATACCATTTTTGTAGTTAAATTCCTCATCAAATGTAGGTTCAAATTTAAAAACTTGAATCTTCTAGTGACTCCCATTATATGGGCGTTTTAGTTGTACACAGTAAATCTAATTTTTGTACTGCAGTGTACTGACAGTCTATTTTCATTTCCTGAAGGATAGCTAATTTATAATCCCTGAATGTACTAATATAATAATTAGTGCACTCCGCATTTGCTCATCTGATTCTGTTTTTCGTCAGGAAAGTATTGCAAGATATGAAAAACTTTCGTATCGTATCATTAAAAAATCATTAGAAAAAAAGTCTTCAGCTTCTTGTAACAAAAAGCATCCTTCTGTTCCACACAATGATAAGAATCTGATAATTAATAATTATTTTCTTCTCTTTGATATAACTGAGTATTTAGTTATTAAAATCTATTGAAACTTTCGCGCACGTTCATTTCTTTTCTCTTTAGTGTCTGCAGTTCAATCAATGATTAGAATTACAGAAAAAGGAATGGTTTGAACTCTTGAAACACGTCCTGTTAAACTTTTCTTTACTAAGCGATTCTTGTTGAAAACACGTGTCATTTTCTTATTTATTTTACATGGCATAGATATTTTAGCCAATCGAGTAAAGCATTGGACTGAGGAAAGAAATGCAGAACTAGACAAGTAAACACCGCCACCAGCCGACACACAATATGACTTGAGGTCATATTGTAAGGGATTTTTCTCTCTCCTTAGCATGCTTCACCCTGGCAGTCATTTATTTTACGGGCTAGGATCTGCATCTTGACAACTGACCAGCACCAGGGGATAAAAACACGTTTCTGGCTGTTTCAAAACCCGGAGAAGATCGTTTAATTATGGTCAGACGGCTGAGAGATTGGTGTAAGTCCTAAGCTGATGGCAACAGTAGCTCCGTAGGGTGGGGTGTGCTGGGTAATGTCCTTCGTGACGCGCAGCCCGCGTAGTACTTGTGGGAGCATTATTGATGATGTTCATGGAGGTAGGTATCATCCATGTTCATGGAGGTAGGATTAGATTTCCAGACGAATATGTTACGCCTTGTGGTAAACCCTCGGCCAAATTCGAAACTGCGATAAGGGAGATAACTGAAAAGTCCGTAAGAATGTAGTGTGGGACCCGGATGTTCGACAAAGTGAATGCATAGCATCTTCCAGGTGACTTTTGTTTGGACTACCGCCTCTTGCCTAATATGGGGGTTTTCAGTTGGGATCTCCAGCCCTGACGCTGCATTCGGTTGCAGGAGCATGTAGAAAGTTTGTCTTGTCTCTCCTTTTCATGTGTCTTTGGGTGTAATTAGATGTACGTCCAGCTGACAGTCGGAATGTCCGGAATACAAATCCCGATGTGGATCTTGCTCAGTTTTCACGTTTCATCTCTCTAAAAAATATAAATGTGTCTACAAGTGGCCTGGACTAAAAGTGTGTAAGCAATACCATCATCACCAAGATCTGGCAACTGGTTCCTTTGATTCTCAGTTGCCGTTTAAGAGTGGGTCAGTATAAGAAATTTTCTCCCTCTTTATCGCCTGGCTTTGTATTGTAATTGAAAGCACGTCTGGCTAGCAATTGGAAAACCCCGGAATTGGAATCTCGGCAAGGGCATCATTAATCTTTCATGCTTCCTGGCTTTAAAAAAAGCCTAATGATTCGTTACTAGATGTGGTGGAAGGGCAATATGACTCAGATAAAATGCTAGAAGTTCCGGAAGTAAATAACGTTCGCATTGAGTACCTATTTAATAAATAAAATGCACACTAAATTTTGAGCGATGCCTAAAAGCTTTGATATTCAACAAAACTAATTCCAAGAAATATATTTCGCTTATTGAGTCAGTAGTTCATTTTCTAGAAAATACGTGTCCTTAAATTAATCTATAATATTGAACCTGCGCGTGGGTATAACGTAATTTCCCCGTATTCTTGTTTTTTTTTATTACCAGGGATTGTTGCGTTTATTCTGAAACCTAGTCATATTTTAAGAAAATCCCAACCTTTACTAAAATCCGGAAAACACTGCAATCAAGGAAAACTGCTACAACAGATGACTCCAGATGTTACTAAAGATGCTCCCATAGCTTTTTGTCAAAGAGATCCAAGCATCGGAATTTCAATTCCGAAATACAGAAACACCGAGCTTAAAAAGCTCCCGAAGTTAGTTAGTAATAATAATAATAAAAGAAACGAAAAAAATAAAAGAATTGCATTGCAAAAGTCTACTGAAATTGCAAATTCTTTCACGGAACGCGAAAGCTGAAACACTTCAATTTATTAATCATACCCCAGCTTCTACCATTTGGTATTGTAACATTTATGGTGAAGATGATGCGAAATTCTCGAAATTTCTCATTTGGAGCACCTTCGTAACACTCCACAGATACAAAAATAGCATTCATATGGCTGGCGTCGAACATCAAACATTTGTTTACTATTAGTTAAGAAGGCCTAAACAGCACCAGTGATGTTAATTAAAACAGAAATGTTGAACCAGTGCTTAATTCTCATGGAAATGTCATTACACGATTGATGAGTGTAAATGTAGATGAAAAGGAATATTAGTCTCCTATTTGTATAAAATTCCTGCTCAGGCAAGTTGCAATATCAAAAACAGGTGATCAAGGCTACAGGGATCTCCAGAAGGTACAAAATGAAAATTTGTATTAAAGACCATTAAATATAATTTTAAGAATTGACAAATTAACTGGCAGCAACATGTATGGAAAAAATTAGCTTTGTGTGATTCACAACATCTACAAAATGGCATTTCCCTATCGCAGATGGGGAAACTAAAAAATGCAAGGTTTTTCAGTCTGTGGAAGCTAATGTTCTGAAAAGTTCACATTAGCATTACACGTAACGATTTTGTATAAAATCCTCCATTAAATTAACCAAATGTTTATTCTAGAATAAAACAGATGTAAAGAAACCACGCAAATTCTTCTTAGTGAATGTTTTTTAAAACTCTGAATATTTAGCATTAGAACATTCACCATAAGATTGAAAATTAGAGCAAGCAACACGCCAAAATCCACGAATTAATACGAAACGCACAATTAATGTTGGTATTTTTAAATTTAGCTTTTGTTTCAATGAAATAGCAACATTAATTGTTGTATAACAGTACTAATATATTGTATGATGCCATTGGTTAAATAGCTTAATAATCAGAAATGCCAGCATTATTTGTATACCAAATTTTAACAAAGCCACCATTTCATGGGTTGAGTGTTGTAGTGTTACTATAAAAATTTACGAACTGAAATATTTTAAGGTATTCTATAGAATCAGTTTTAATGTATATGTAATCGTCTCCTGAACAATATGAATATATTTATCTTATGAAACATATCAAAATATATGCAACAAACATTTACAGAAGGAAATACAAACATACGGTACAAAGTGTAAACGAGGATGTTGCTATGATATTTGGCAAAAATTGCAGATAATTGTTTCATTAAATTTTTATTGATGGAGGAACGTTTGGAATTTCATTTAATTTCATTAAATTGTAATTCATTATAGTTTAAGTGATGCAGGAATATTTAATTGACGGGGAATTCATTCTAATATAAAGGTCAGTTTATTTCTTACAGTTTAAAATTAAAATTTTTTGCAAACTAATGCATTTTTATCTGACATTTAATTGCTACGTTACCATGCATACACAAAAAAGAGATCTTCTAAACCAGGATCATTATTGCAAGCAAAATATGTGCACTTTCACAGCAGTGAGAACTTTTATGATCCTGCTGTGGATTAATATAACGGTACTGGCACCTATACGTAAAATAGCCCACGTGAATTAGAATTTCAGCAGTGTGGGTGCCAAGATTTTATTTTGTCCCGCCTTAATAAATTAATAAGGAAATCACCAAAGTGAAATTTGTGTAATTGAATCTAAAATTTGATATAATAAACTATAGCTAGCATCTATAAGTTGAGTATATTGTAGTGGTAAAAAAAAGACACCTTTGACGCTAGCATGTGAATGCTATTTTTATATCTGTGGACTGTTACGAAACTGTTCTAAATGAGAAATTTCTGGAATTTCCCATCATCGTCACCATAAATGCTGCAAAGCCAAATGGTAAAAGCTGGGATATAATTAATAAATTAAAGTGTTTTAGCTTTTCGC